TGTTGATGGCCGGTGGGGATCCACGCCCAATTATAGCCTCATGTCCACCCACGCTTATGATGATGTTGGCGTGCGTGTGATGTCACGTGGGAGATGCGCGTGCATGTTCTGGGGTCAAAGGCCGATTTCGGCCAATCAGAATTGTAAATGACTTATTTAAATGCAATTTTACTTTTCTTCATTTCCCTGTCATGGTTTCCCTTAGTGGTTGTCTAAGAGTGTGTTCCTGAGTGTTTATTTCTGGTTATTGAGTTTGGCTTTGTTTTGACTTCCCTGTATTCTGGTATCCCTGACTTCTGGCTTTCCATTATCGCTGTGTCTCATTCTGTTGTCCGCAACCTTGGCAAGTAGTCTGACTATTCTTTGGTACGGCCATTCTAAGGCCCGGTAAGATGTTACCTTTTAGTCCAAGGTTTGATACAGTTCAACGTGCTGGATCAACTAGTAATCTTGACACATATTCCTAAGCGTGCAAAATGTACACAATCTCTATAAAAGCTGTCATAGTGTGGGAAAGCTTATAAAAGGACTTTCCCTGCTAGGAGCGCTCATTCTGTGGTGAGCCGTCCATGGGTCAAAAAATATATTTGTTGCAGCATTTTTTAAATTTATTTTTTCGCAACTATGTCCACCCCTACATTATTTCACAGGCCCAGTGAAACTAGCCTAGTTACTTTAAGATATAGCATAGATAGCAGATGGGAGCATATGGAGATACATAACTTCCATTTTTACCCTTATTGTCCCCCACAGATTTTTTATTAATTGTATTTATTTTTGACTATTTTCATGTGGCACCTGGCTAGCAAGCATTAGCAAGAAAAAAAAATAACAGTGGCCTCACACAATAGCAAAACTCCCTATTAACAAGTAGAACCACATTCCAAGACAGAGAAACCTGAGAATATGTAACAATGCTAACTTTGCAGATTATTTGGGGGTAATCCCAGAGAAGAATCAAGTTCAGTCACTGAAAAGTCCAATCAAATATTTATATGAAAGTTTTACAATAAAACGTCAACTTTTTTTCTGCAAAGCTAAATAAAAGCTTAGTTTTATTTTAATCTTGGAAACAAGTTCCTGCAGTGTTATCATTCTGACTATTTCATAGTTATGAAAGGAAAGTGCATAAAATCCTCAACTATGAAAAATGTGTGAAGAACACACATACATGGTTATTTACTAAAGTGAAAATTGCCAGAAACTCAAAGTAATATATAGGCTTTTTTTAAATTAACAAAGTTTTTTTTTTCCCAACGACAAATTCTTAGAGACACTACAGTCACCAGAACCACTACAGTTTAATGTAGAGATTCTCATGTCTATAGCCTGTTCCTGCAATCTTTTCAATGTAAACAGAGAAAATGCAGTGTTTACATTGCTGCCAAGTAACACCTCTAGTGAGAGTCACTCAGACTGCCACTAAAACGCTTCCTATCTCTTACTTGCTATGCGTTGAGGTTCTGAACATTCCCCAAAGAGATGCATGGATTCAAGTCCTGAAGCCCATGGATCAGCGCAGTCAGGGGAATGGGCCTTGACAGAGCCAAGGAGTAGGCAGGTGGAGTTATAATTTTAGGGGTGGGAATTTAAGAATGGATTGTAATAAGGGGTGGGGAATAGAGGGAGTATATTAAGCGGCCATTTTAGCAAGTGGCCATTTTAACCAGAATCTGCACTTACCTGTTAATTGTCTTGGCAGGTCTGTGTGGTTTCCTTTTCTTTTCTCTTGCAGATGGCTTCGCTGGACGAGATCCTGGACGGAGTGAGAGCGGCTGTGCGAGACAATGGGATGGCATGGCTTCAACGGCAGCTGGGGGAGCCTGGGACCAGTATTAACCCCCCTGCGGCAGCGGAGCGGCGTCCGGTGAGGAGGGCGAGACCGCCCCAGCGGCTGAGTCCGGGCGTGATGCCCGCGGCACGTCGGCGACGGAGCCCGTCGGCGGAGGCGGGCGGAGCACTGTCTGGGGATGCCGGCAGGGAGGAGGCAGAGAAAACGCCGCCGGCACCGTCTGTCCGACGCGGTGCCGGTCGGGCTAGGACGGCAGTCAGGTCGGTGACCGCTTTGCGGCCTAACATGCCGGACGGCGTGCGGCAGGGTGGCGAAATCGGCGGCGGCCTCCAGGATGGCCAGGATAGCGGAGGCCTGTGGAGGAGAGGAAGGAACCCAGGGGCGTCCCGGTGAGTCTGCCGCCGGTGTAACAACCGGTCGGCATGGGGGCAGGCAAGAGGAGATGGATGGCGGGCAGACAGCTCCCCCGGGGGTTGGGGGGGCTCCTAGCAGTAAGGGCCCAGTGGGAACGGCCGGGGTCAGGGCCAGGCTGGACGGCAAGGAGTTAGCCAGCCGGGTTACCCAGTTGGGACGTCAGAAGCAGGCCACGGCGGCGGCGGAGGGGGACTCCGGCTGCCAGGGACAACGCAGGGACTCCCCTTTAGACAGGGTGGCGTCACTTGAGGACCTGTCACAAGGATCGGAGGCGGATTCGGAAGACGGGGTCAGGAGTGTACGGGAGGACAGCGGGTGCACCTCCCAAGGGCGGCAAGGTGTACCAAACGACCCCAGGCCTGTAGCCAGCAAAGAACGGCGGGGGGATAGCGCCAGGCAGGAAGGGACATGGAGCGCCAGGGAAAGGAGCCCGTCGGCTGATAGGTACAGTAAGCGGAGGGCAGCCTGTAGGGACAGGAGGAGGAAGGAACGGCGCAGCGCTTCTGGGTCCTCAGACGAGAGCTCCCAAGGACAGCGGTATGGCACTTACGGCCTTGAGGGCCAGGCTACTAAGCGGGGCAGGCGTAGGAACGATGGAAGGGAGCGTAGGGAGGAAGGGCGGGTAGGTGGACGCACGAACAGACTACCCAGGTGTTCTTCTCCTTACAGGTCGCGGAGCGTTACACCAGCGGTCCCGAGGCGGGATCAGGCGGTAAGGAGTCGGCGTCTCTTGGACACTCCGGAGCCGTGTGCGGCGGATGGAAGGAACACGACCCCGCGGCCCTCCGCGGCCGGGGGCTCTGGCGGTGAGTCATCTGTTACACCACACTCAGAATCACTGTTAAGCTGCTTAAAGTCATTGTTAGATTCTTGGGTCAGTAGGGACGTGGCTTCACCACAATTTTCGAGGGTGTGGGGTCCGGTGGCGGGTAACGTTTCCGCGGGACAGGCAATGGGGGCGGGGAGTGGTGACTCCGGGTTAGCCGCGTCTGGGTCAGTAGGGGGGACGGGCGAAAAGACGGACTTAGGCGGTGAGATTACCGACGCTGCGCGGCAAAATGTGCACGTTTCTTTCGCGGGCCCCTTAGGTTGTCATTTAAAGGCTGAGCTGAAGGACAAGATTTGGAAAGGTGAGTTCGTGGAAGTTTTTTCCCTTCTCCCCCTGGAGGAGTTTCTTGATCTAAAGGAGGAGGACAAAAAGGACGCGAAGAAGGAGGAAGAGGAGAAAAAACGTAGGTATAGGAAGATCCCCAAAACGTTTGCGAACTGGCTACGGGCTTTTTGTATATTGGCCAGTGTGCTCGGGGAAAAGTTCCCTGATCGCTGCTCCCAACTTTTTTGTTATCTGGACGGGATTGGGGACGCGTACCGAACGTACGGGGGAGTGGCGTGGTGGAAATACGATGAGCAATTCCGCCAACGACTAGCAGCGAATCCTGGAATGAGGTGGGACCAAATGGACCTACCTCTATGGATGAAGCTGATGATGGCGCAGAAGGCTGCGCCCTTTCACGGGGTGGCCGGTGCGGTACACGGAGGAACGGCGCCGGCCGGGCAAAAGAAGGGTTTCTGCTGGCTCTTCAACGAGGGCCAATGCAAGTGGGGTACGGCGTGCAGATTCAAGCACGAATGTTCCGGTTGCGGCGGTACCCATGGGGCTAACAGGTGTTTCAAGAGGGGTAAGCCGGCTACCGGGGGAGGTCTCGGCAGCGCAGCGACCCCCGCAGCTACCGCTGGGGGCAACGCCGGTGAAGGTAGGCGAGATGCTGCCGTGGCTAAGGCGCTACGCTAACCGAGCGGACGCAGAGTTTTTGAGGAAGGGGTTTACAGAGGGGTTTACTATTCCATTTAAGGGGAGGGGGCCGGGGACATTATGTGCGAATTTAAGGTCAGTACGGGAGCATCCAAGGGTGGTTCGGGACAAATTGTTGACGGAGGTAAAGCTGGGTAGGATGGCGGGACCTTTTGTGGCCCCGCCACTGCCGAACTTGAGGGTATCCCCACTGGGGGTGGTCCCCAAGAAGGAACCGGGCAAATTCCGTTTGATACACCATTTGTCCTACCCTAAGGGGACGTCAGTCAACGATGACATTGACGCAGCTCTAAGCTCGGTCTCATATGCATCATTCGACCAGGCGGTCGAGTTGGTTCGGAGAGCCGGGCGGGGAGCGTTGATGGCAAAGGTTGACGTGGAAGCAGCTTTTAGGTTGCTTCCTATTCACCCAGAATGTCACCATTTATTGGGGTGTTTTTTCGACGAGGCCTTTTTCGTAGACCTATGTTTGCCCATGGGCTGTTCTATTTCTTGTTCGTACTTTGAAAAGTTCAGCTCCTTTTTCGAGTGGGTGGTGCGACATGAGTCAGCCGGGGGGGCAGTGGTGCACTACTTGGATGACTTTTTGTGCGTGGGGCCAGCGGGCTCCGACCGTTGTGGGCAAATCCTGCGGGTTTTACAGTGGGTGGCGCACACCTTTGGGATCCCGTTGGCCGCGGACAAGACAGTAGGCCCGACGGAGTGCTTGCACTTTCTGGGGCTGGAAATCGACTCGGTGAAAGGGGAATGTCGGTTACCGATGGATAAGCTGTTGGCTCTACGCCAGCGGGTAGGGGAAGTGCGGGGCTCAAGGAAAGTGACCTTAAGGGGCCTGCAGTCCCTGTTAGGGAGCCTGAACTTCGCATGTAAAGTGATCCCTATGGGGAGGGTTTTTTGCAGGCAGTTGGCTCGAGCTACGTGTGGAGTGCGGTCTCCGGGTCATTACATCAGGGTCTCAGCTGACCTGAGGGCGGATTTGGACGTATGGATACACTTTTTGCGGGAGTTTAACGGCCGTGTCTATTTTAGGGATTCAGCTGCGACGTCGGAGGACATAGGTTTATTTACCGACGCCTCGGGGAGCGTGGGTTTTGGGGCATACCTGGGGGGGAAATGGTGCGCGTAGGAGTGGCCTAGGTCTTGGAAGGAAAGCTCCTTAATCAGGAATCTGGCCTTCCAGGAGTTCTTCCCAGTGGTGGTGGCAATAGCTCTGTGGGGCCAGGAACTCGCGAACAGGAAGGTGGTTTTCCACTCGGACAACATGGCGGTGGTGCAAGCGATCAATAGTATTTCGGCTTCGTCGCTGCCCGTAGTACGGTTGTTGAGACACTTGGTTCTTCTTTGTATGTCATGGAATATTGGTTTCAGGGCCCGGCATGTTCCGGGCTTGTTGAATGTTGTGGCTGACGCACTGTCTCGTTCACAGTGGGAACGTTTTCGGGAGACAGCTCCGGGCGCACAAGATACGGGTCAGGCGTGCCCAGACGACATATGGCAGCTCGGGACATCGTGCTTGGGGATTTCGTAAGGAGCTCCTTGGCGCCAGGCACCTGGGCGGCGTACACTAAGGTTTGGATGGAATGGGAGGAGATGGTAGGGCAGACGGGAGGGGAGTCCTCTGCAGCAGGTAGGTTTGACACATTGTTATGGTTGTTGTGTCGGTTACTGGCAGGCGGGGCCTCCCCCGCCAGGGTGGACCGTTACATGTCAGCGCTGGCGTTTTGGTTTAAGTTTAATGGATGGGAGGACTTTACCAAGAATTTTATAGTGAAACAAGCTCTGCGCGGCTTCCGTAAAGGGAAGAGGTCCATGGACACGAGGCGGCCGGTATCGTTTGCCATCCTGCAAGGGCTGGTACGGGGGCTGCGCGATGTGTGCACATCGTCGTTTGAGGTGGTGTTATTTTCGGTAGCGTTTGTTTGGGCCTTCTTCGGGGCGTTCCGCATTGGTGAACTGGTCAGCAGTAACAAGTCCGGAGTTAACGGGCTCAAGTTTGAGGACGTAGTCGTTGGCCGGGACAAAGTCAAGATTCAACTGAGACGCTCCAAGACGGATGTTTTTGGGAGAGGAAGGAAGGTGGTATTGTTCTCGTTACCTGGGTCGGAGGTCTGCCCGGTGGCGTGCGGGCGCGAGTTCTTACACATTCGCCCAGAGGAGTCGGGGTGCTTTTTTATCCATGAAGACGGTTTTGCACTGTCACGTTTTCAATTTATACGGGTATTTCGCATGGGGCTTAAGCGGTTGGGCCTACATCCCATGCAATTTGGCACTCATTCGTTTCGGATCGGGGCGGCAACGGAGGCGGCACGACTGGGCCTGGGGGACGAACGGCTTAAGCAGATCGGTCGGTGGGAGTCCATTCGTTTTTGTTCATATGTGAGACCAGATTGGTTGGTATAACGTGGTTGTGGTCAGGTTGGGGGGTTGTCAATATGTGCCCCGCAAGTTAATTGATTCTGTTTCTTTACAGGTATGGTTGCCTGGTTGGTGGGTCACTCTTACATTTTTTGGGCGCAGAAGAGGGCCGCAGTTCGGAGGAATGGAACACAGCTGGGTTTTCTTCTGGAAACGGTGGAGTTACAGTGGTTTGGTTTTCGTGGTTTCAGTTGGCAGAACATTAGTGGAGTAATTTTCAGGATGGTGTCGGGGGGGGCTTCCCCTGATATACTACTTATTCACGGTGGGGGTAACGATTTGGGTTTGATTCCTCAGAGGGAACTAATTAGGAGAATGAATCGGGATCTGGATCGGCTACGGGAGCTGGTGCCTGGTGTGGTGGTAGTATGGTCCGAGATGGTGCCGAGGTTTAATTGGAGACATGCCAGGGATTCAGCTGCTGTGGCGCGATGCCGGGGAAAAGTGAATAGAGCTATGTCAGTTTTCGTCCGGAGGTCGGGCGGGGTTACTGTACGACACTGGGAATTAGAGGGCATGTTGCCTGGGTATTTTCGCAGGGATGGGGTGCACCTTTCCGAAGTGGGGTGCGATTTACTAAATTTAGGTTTTCAGGAGGGCATAGCTCAGGCCCTATTTTTGTATGGTGGGGGGCGCTCGAGACGTTAAGGTATCAAGTCTCGGGCTATGGCGGGATAGGGCTAGGGTAATTGGGATGGAAGAGGAGTAGTAAGTGGCTAGGCTAAGGTTAGGCTGTATTAGGCCAGAGTGGTAAGTGGTCTGTTGGTTCGAGCTCTTCGGTGGCTCCGAACCTGGTGGTGTAGGGGTGTCTCGGTACACCCCTACAGTTAAGAAAGTTATGGTTATGGGGCCTCTTTGGTAGGCCGTGTGTTATATATTATGTGTTATTTATATTGTTATATATTGTTTATGGCATGGGGTCATTGCTGGGGTAATGCTGTACGGAAGGGGGTTGGGGTAAATTTATTATTATATGGCAATGACCCTAATTTGTTATCTTGTTTATAATTACATAAAAATAAAGCTGTGGACTTTATATATTTCCAACAAAGAATTTGGTGTCTGTGTTTTTTGGGGTGGGGTTGTTGGGAAATGCCACAAGCCGAATAACGACTGTGCGCATGTCATGATATAATCTGAAGAAAATCATTAAAATGAATTTATAATGAAAAAAATATGACTTTTCTTAAATCACTTTTGAATACACCATATATCACAAAGATACATTTATGTAATGTAAAATATAAAAGATTTACTCAC